TGCACAAGGTGGCCGATGCTCCATTAGCATGGTGCAGATTTGCCTGGAGCACTTCAAGAGCGCTCATTATGTCTCGTTAAGAGACTTACGGACGAGACTTTCACGCTTGTCTCGTCGAGAACCTTTATTCCTATCACCCTTTGATTGCTTCGGTAAAATTTTACCGATTAAGGGTGTTTTATTGGTAGCGGTCCGTGGTTTACCTGCTACAGTTGCCGTGCCCGTGGAGGGCATTGTGGACTTTGTTACCGAGGTGGGAATCTGAATAGCACGCCCACTGGCAGAGCACACAGCCTTGCTTGTGGAGGGACGTGTGTCTAGTTCCTCTTCCTCAGGAACAGTCACTGTTGGGCAAACATCCGTAAGGCATGCTGCCGAAGCCGAGGATGATTGGATAGTACTATCATCCTGAACCACCTTTGGAGTATTATCTATGAGGTGAGAATGAGCGGGGGTGGTTCCCTTTAGCATCAATCTCAAGTGTCCGAACCGGTATGCAATCCTACCTTTAAGTTCGGATAACTTCCTCATAGATTCGTCATCAATGACGAAGACTAGGTGAAGCATCTGATCCTGCGTCAGCCTACGTATCACCTTCCACCGCTTGGTGGAGAATTTGTTCTGGGTACCAATGGTAGCCAGAACTTTTTCGTTTGACAGTGTCAAACTCTGAGGAAAATAGCCACGAACGACGTGAGTTCGTGGGAAATCCTTTTCCTCTACCACGTTTATAGCGAGTCCGCGTTTGTGGCCTGAAAATTGCTTGACCCACTTCGCAGTTTTTGTATCACTGCAGACGATAAGCAGCCACCCCGTTCTAGGTAAACACCCTTCGAACTCCGGCTGTATTTCGTCGTTGTGTTGCTCAATAGCAACATCAATAATGGCTTCTTGGAGAAGCGTAATTTGCTCTGTAGAGAGCGAAGTGCCAGCCGGATCGGCCGACGTGAAGCCTAAGCGTACGCCTTTAACAGCTAGGCTGTACGATGGCTTGGTGAGCCCCACGTGAGCCACCTTGTGTTTTTTGGCGGGAAACAAACCGGGGGATTGCTCCTCCGATCTGACCCGCTTGTTCGCAGGCGGATGTTGCATAGCAATTTTAAGAGCCTCTGCCCTGCTATGGCCTGAAGACATGGCCGCCTTAAACCTTCTTCGCTCACTTCTTTTAAGGTGAGTAAATTTTGAGAATTCCAAAGTGAGGTTGCCAACTTTGGAGCCAACGACAGTTAAACTGGATTTTTGTGATACCACACTGCCGGTGTCGTAATCACCAGATTCAACGGCTTTGGAATTTGAAGACAAGACCTCAATAATTTCCTGCCGCCTTACCTGAGATCGCGACGAAGTTACTGCTGGTGCGTACACCGTTTCCGCAAGCGGAGAAGTAGACGGTGGCCCGTCCGGGTCCATTTTGACGCACACAGTAGCGCTGTCGAAATGGGTGGAGGCTTCCAGCCCAGTGGCCGGCATACACTCAGCTACAGATAATTCCGTAAAGGAATCATTTGAAGATGATGCCGTTAGAGTGACATCAAGCTCATTTGTATTATTTAATTTATCCATACAAAAATTATTTATATTGGAAGGTCACACACGACATAGCCCGTTTATCGTGAGAAGTCTAAATTCAAACTGGAGGTCGACAGGTATCCAGAGTTCGCATATTAAAGACCAACTATCCATGGCCATTCATCCCTCGGCATATGCTGTTCCACCTTGGATTTGAGCTTTGATTTAAGACGCTTTTACATGCGTCCGCCCGATTACAATTAGCCAGCACTCATAGCAGAGACATGACCATACTATGAGCCTGTTTCTAGCCGCCCCCGCGTAGAGGATGTAATCACACTACCGACAGTACACAGCAGTTACGGCACATACACAAAGTACGTGTTTATCCCCCTGTGTATCTGACGGCTGGCGACCTCTGCTTTGAAATAGTTCAAATACAAAAAGTGCGGGTCTTTAAATTTAAAACTTTTGTAAAATAGCATTCTCTTCGATAGACGCTTAAAATTCCACTGCTTTGTTTGAGATTGGAAGTGTGTTATAAATTATTTCATACTTTAATATCAATGCAAAATTAAACAACAACAGATTGCGCCAACTAGAAAAAGTCTAAAATGAGTGTTCAGCGTTCTCCCCCAGAGCGCGAAACTAAACAAGTTATTGAATGAGTAAGTATGCAAACAAATATTATAAATTAACTAATTTATTGCCGTCTTCTTCTGCACGCAAAAGTGATCTTCTCACAGTGCATGTGCAGTCATAAACTTTTTCATGGAGTACTGAATGTGGATCTTCACTGCCAAATTCTCCATCAACAATTGTTGCACATCAAAACAGCGATTATAAACATGTGATTATAAACATGTATCAGCGACATGCGATTATAAACATGTATCAGAAAAAACGTTGCAGAAAAATGTTTATATGCAAAAGTTACTAACTTAAACTGCACAACAAATCATTACGAACATGAGTCTATCAACATTGAAGACAAAAATAATATTCAAAATGCTGCCAAACAAGACAGCGGCAATAATTTTCAGACAGGACTATATAGATATATTCTTGTAACAAAGCCCCATGACAAAACCATCTAGTCAAATTTCAAAACTAACAAAATTAGTTGAAAACCGCTTCTCCTTAAATAAAAATATATTTCAAATCTTATCAACTGATGAAAATAACGATAATACCGAAAATAACACCAAAAAATACAAACCACCTCCAATTTATCTAAGGGAAAAAAATTCGAAGGATCTTTTAAAGAAGATAACATCCATAATTGGTGATAAACATTTCTACGTGATTTCACTCTTGAAAGGAAATGTTAATGAAACAAAAATCCAAATAAACAAAGAATTAAACTATAGAAAAATTATAAACTTCTTTGTTGCCAATTATAAAAGCTACTACACCTACCAGTTAAAAAGTAGCAAAGGTTTAAGTGTGGTAATAAAAGGTATAGAACACTTCGTACCGGAGGCTGATATAAAAGCAGCCTTAGCAGAAGCGAGATTTGAAGCAAAGTCCATCTTTAATATTGTTATGAATTTGATCAGGTTAACAATGGAATGTTTAAATATTGTTTAATCATTATGTCAATTGATATTTTATGATAAGTTAGTTGGGAATTTGTTTTGAGTGAAGCTGTGTTTTCTTAAATTTGCTTCTAGTAATTACTGATTCTTTGTAATACTACAATACTACAATATTATAATAAAGTATAGTTTCGCTAACAAAGAAGTTTGTTTCATTTTTACAAAATCCTGTGATTCGAATATACACGCATTAAGACAATTACGTAACAATATTAAAAACAAAAATAAAACACCTCAGCCAATATTTAAAGTAGAACTTGAGCCAAACGCAAAAAAACTCGCTAAAAGAGAAGTGCACCCAATTTACAATTTTCGTTATCTTTTACATCGAAGGATAACAGTAGAAGAGCCTTTCAAAAGAAAAGATCCAGTGCAGTGTATTAACTGTCAAGAATTTGGCCATACTCGAACATATTACACCTTACCCAGTGTATGTGTAATATGTGGAGATCTACACAAATCCTCCATATGCTCAAAACTTAAGGAAGATACAAATTCAAAAAAATGTAGCAATTGTGGCAAAAACCATATAGCAAATTATAGTAGTTGCACTGTATTTGTTGCAGTTAAGCAGAGAACTGTTCCCAAAAATCAACAAAGTACTGCGCCACCCCAAAAATTATTTCCAAAAACAAATAAGTAATCCAGAAGTAATAATATCTCAAGGCAAAGTTATGCAAATATATTAAGAGAAAATATTCAACCTCAACAAGTGGCGAAACCGGCAGTATATAATTAAGAAGAAACGCTTAATACCCTGATCCAAAGTCTTGATCTTTGTATGTGTAGTATGCAAAGCATGATGCAAGAACTTATAAAAAATCAAAGTGTTCTAATGCAAGCTCTGAAAATGAAGAAATGAGCAACTCCATTAGAATATGTCACTAGAATGCAAACGGTATAAACAACTATAAACTTGTGTCACCCTATTCATTAATTCTCAATTCCTAACAATGTAGTTTAACAACGTTGTTATGTTTTTGCGAGAGAAGTATTCGCAAGCGTCTTTGCAGTTAGAAATAATAATGTAAAGAAAGAAATGTACTAATGTACGTAATTGTAATATATAAATAAAGAAAGAAATGTACTAATGTACATAATTGTAATATTAAAATAAACTGAAATAATAATAAAAAAACTTAGTTCTTGATATCAATTTTTCAGAAGTGGGATAATAAAATCCAAAATAAAAAAACAAAATGCCGAACTTTCGCGACATAAACATTGACACGCTTAGAGAAAAGTGCCGAAAACTAGCCTTATCGACCGTCGGTAGTAAGACAGAGCTAATAAAAAGAATCGTAAAGTGGAACTCAGTACTGAAAATCAAACGGCGACATTGGGTAGTTCGAATGGTGTTCCGACTAACATGTGCAGCCGACAACCTTTGGATGATGCCGTAACGAGCACTGCTCTGCCGATTACTTATAATGCATACACGCCAATGGTAACGACTCCACCGTTTGTGTATTTCACACCGCATGCAGCAATACCAAATAGCTCCATACCAATTTGTTCGTCAATTTCACAAAATCCAACGATGTCAATCGCAAATTCAGGAACGCCGGCATGTTCATTTGCGCCGCAGCTTGTAACAACAAATTCGATATCTACGCATCAACGAAATATAGATAAAAATTATTCAAATACGCGCGTTTCTTCAGCAACTCTAATGCCCAAATTGGCATATTCAAACGCTTCATTTCCACCGCAACAATATTTGTGTCAACATAATGTTCGCGATATAAATGAAATTCTACCAGAGTTCAACCCACTTGATAAAGAAGGCTTAACAGCGCAGCAATTTGTAACCCGCATAAATATGCTAAAAGCGCATACCAATGGGATGATCGTTTGTTGTTGTACAGTGTACAATCGAAATTAAAAGGACCAGCAAAGATGTGGAACGATAGTTTACCAAGTGTTTTTTCTAATGGGATGGAGTTTTGTAATCAGATAGTGTTTGATTTTCCATCTACGGACACCGATGCTGACATACACATGAAATTAATGAATTGTTCCAGAATGACGAATGAAAGTCACGAAGACTTTTACTATCGAGTCTTGGCAATAGGTCATAGAGGTCTTATGCAAGATAATTCAATTAATCAATATATTCTCAAAGGACTAAACGACTATGGAATGCAGCAGTCGCTGGCTAGCAATTTGTATGTGACATCAAATGATCTTCTAGTTGCAATACGAAGGCATTTAGGAAATGCGCCACTGCGAGTTCAACAGAGAGTGGATAAAAATATAAAAGGCGAAAATGCACGGATAAGATGTTATAACTGCAACGAGGAAGGACACGTTTCTATAAATTGCAAACAACCAAAAAAACGCTTACAATGTAAAAACTGCCAGAAAGTAGGTCACACCGAAGCAAATTGTAGATTTGTAAAAGAGCCGGTAAAGAAAATTGACAAGAATAAAATTTCTCCGATATCTGGAATCATTAAAGAAGTACAAATCAATGGTATGTTTTTAACAGCATTTATAGATCCAGGCAGTTCGATGTCTTTAATTAGAAAAAGTTATGCTACAATATTTCGTGGTGAAATACCGTATACAGGACGTGCGTTGCAAGGGATGTTTGGCGGCGGTTATGAATGCACAACACAGTTAAATATAACTTTACGGATAGACGCAATAGAATTTTCGGTATCTCTATTGATTATCGAGGACAAATTCATGAACGAGCCAATTTTGGTGGGTAACGATGTGCTGTACAACCAGTGGTACGATTTGTTATAGAAGATGATTCCAGTAGAATAGAGAAAATTGAATTAACCAATTTGAGCGTTGATCCCAATATAAATGAAAATTCCAAAGATGATTGGAATTGGTAAGCTACGCTGACTGTTTTGCTTCCAAAATGTCAAAGCTAGGTAAATAAATCAAAAATAAATTAACGATTCGCTTAAAGTCAGACGTGCCAGTTAGTAGACGACCATCTCGACTCCCTTTTGCAAAACGTGAATGTGTAAAAGAAATTATAAACGAACTTCTTTCAAACAACATTATTCGTCGAAGTAAGTTATCGTTTGCGTCACCAATAGTCCTAGTGAAAGAAAAGAATGGAGAAGATCGGCTATGTGTGGACTACCGGGAGCTAAATAAAATCACAGTTAAAGAACCTTTTCCTATGCCGATCATGGAAGAACTGTTTTCTTCGTTACCTGGTGACCGATATTTTACCATGCTCAATCTGATGTTTGGTTATCATCAAATCGCCGAAGAAGAAGGCAGTAAGCAGTACACTGCGTTCATGGCTTACGATGGCCACTTCGAGTAGAACTACACGCCATTTGGTTTGGTAAACGCGCCAGCTGTTTTTCAGTCAGTAATGAATTCAGTGGTTAGCAAAATGCCAGCAGGCCAAATTATTACATATTAAGATGATGTTGTTATACCAAGCAAAACAATATCAGAAGGTTTACAGCGGTTACAAAAATTCTTGAATATTCTACATGACGAGGGGCTAAAGCTGAAACTAACGAAATGTAGTTTTCTGTCAAAAGAAATTAATTTCTTTGGCCACCGAATAAATGAAAATGGAATATGTCCAGGCGAAAGTAACATATTTGCAATTAAAAATTTTGAACGACCGAAAAACGTTACGGAGGTGTACCGATTTCTTGGTCTCACAGGTTTTTTTCGTAAGTTTGTGAAAAACTATTTGCTTATTTCAAAACCGCTCACAACGTTGCTGAAAAAGGATAATGTTGAATTTATATGGAACAAACCACAAGAAGAAGTATTTTGTAAACTAAAAGAACAGTTATGCTCCGAACCAACTCTTGCGATTTATGATCAGCGGAAAGAGCGTGAAATACACACTGATGTCAGCGCTATTGGTCTAAGTGGCATATTATTTCAACGATCTGACGACCACATTTCACAGCCTGTATGTTACTACAGTCGCCATTGTAACAGTTCGGAAGAAAAATACCATAGTTATGAACTAGAGGTGTTAGCTATCGTTGAGTCATTGGAGTGTTTTCGATTTTATTTAGTGGGAAAGCATTTTAGAGTGGTAACCGACTGCTCAGCTATAACAATGCTAAAAGCATCCACTCCGTTAATTGCACGACTTTCCAGATGGTGGTTGAAACTACAAGATTTTGATTTCGAGACTGTTAATGGCGCTGGGATACGTATGTCCCACGTGGATGCACTAAGTAGGAATCCGTCTGAAACTGCCCGAGAACCTGAAACTGTTGCCGATAGAATTTTACGTATAGAAATTTCAACAGACGATTGGTTAGCCGCTATGCAGATTCAAGATCCGAAATTGAAAAGGATCATTGCTATACTTCAACGTAAACTCGAGTCCAGTCAGAGGAAGCAAATCGAAAATGATTACATAGTCAAAAATTCCCGATTATATCAAAAACTAAACCATCAAGAACTATGGGTCGTACCGAAGGGAGTACGTTGGAAAATAGTAAACTCTTGCCACGATAAAGCTGGTCATTTTTCAGTCGACAAAACTATTAACCGTATTATGAAGACTTATTGGTTTCCTAGAATGCGAACGTTTGTTAAAGGCTGCATTGCTAATTGTGTCGAATGCTGTTTTAATCGAAAACCAGGTGGACGAAGCGAAGGTGAATTACATATTAACGAATCGGACGTTAATGACATTGACATTAATGCCGTTTCGTATTTTGCATGTCGATCTTAGTCCATTTATAAGAAGCAAAAAAGGAAGTACGCATATTTTAGTGTTAGTGGACAGATTCACCAAATACGTGATTATTAAAGCTGTGCGTAACACCAAAACACAGCCCATAATCAACGCATTAAATAAACTTAGCAGTATCCTCGGCTTGCCGGCGAAAATTATCACCGATAGAGGAACGTCATTTACCTCTAAAGTTTTTTTGACTACTGTAAGCTGAATGAAATTAAACACGTTAAGACAGCTGTTCATACTCCGAGGGCTAATGGAAGGTGGAAAGGTTAAATCAATCTATTCTATCTTTCTTAAGGACAGCCAAATCTGATGACAAAAATTCGTACGAAGAACTCCGATCACTACAGTGAATGCTTAACACTCAAATTAACTCAACTACTAATTTTGCTCCAAACGATCTCATATTCGATTTTAAATTACGGGATATAACAGCCAATCACTTACACGAGGCTTTACAAGATGATACTCCAGTAGATATGATTGCCCGCCGACATGAAGCAGTCCAACGCATAGAAGCTGCACGTTCCAAATGGAAGCAACGTTTTGACAGTAGCCATAAAAAGCCAAAACGGTATGAAGAAGGTTATCTGGTAGTAGTTGAAAACGTTCCATCAGCTACTGGCGAGTCGAAAAAGTCAGAACCGAAATACCGTGGACCGTATGTGGTAGCGAAAGTTATTGGGAATGACCGCTATTTGGTTGAGGACATGGACGACCGTAAAATCAAAACTCGAAGGTATTCATCAATAAATACCACCGATAAGCTGAAACCGTGGTGTACTCTATATTCTGACATTGACAATTTTGAAGATGGCTCAGAGTTGGAAGAAGAAACGCAACTCGAGGCGACTTGCAGTCAGGAAGGGCCGAGCAGTCATCCTATTCATTAATTCTCAATTCCTAACAATGTAGTTTAACAACGTTGTTATGTTTTTGCGAGAGAAGTATTCGCAAGCGTCTTCGCAGTTAGATATAATAATGTAAAGAAAGAAATGTACTAATGTACATAATTGTAATATATAAATAAAGAAAGAAATGTACTAATGTACATAATTGTAATATTAAAATAAACTGAAATAATAATAAACAAACTTAGTTCTTGATGACACTTGAAATTGAATATTTTTTAATTAGTAAAACAATTGATATTATGCTTGTATCCGAAACACATCTTGCTCAAAAAAACGCTTTCAAAATTCCAAATTACTGCTTTTATGACACCAAGCATCCCAAAGGTATGGCTTGTGGAGGTACTGGTATTATAATAAAAAAAGACTTAAACACTTTGTTTTAGAAGACTTAAGCAAAGATTATCTACAATCGACAGCTATCCGATTTGATGAATATGGAGAAAATGTCGTAATAGCTGCAATATGTTGTCAACCCAATCACAATATAAAAGTCCACGACTTCCAAAACTTTTTTAAAACACTCGGTTCTAAATTTCTGGTCGCGATTTTAATGCCAAGCACACATTCTGGGGTTCAGGGCTAATAACACCAAGAGGACGGAAACTTCTAGCAGTTGTGAAAAGTGAAGATTTCAATGTTGCTTCAATTGGACACCCAACATACTGGCCTTCTGATCGACAAAAAGTCACAGATCTTATCGACTTTGGTCTAAGCAAAAATAATAAACCATCAACAATCACCGCATTTCCATCAGTTGAACTGTCATCAGACCACTCACTAACAATAATAACAATACAAAGTCAACAGAATAGAACTATCCAAACACAAAGTCTAACAAAATATATAAACTGGTGAAAATTTCGTAAATATGTAAATTTAGTAAATTTATTTTTCGTAAATAAAGGTGAATAATGAAATTGATGCTTGTGTTAACCAATTTTCTGAAGTAATCTCAATGGGCGTTGAAGTAGCTTCTATAAGAATTGAAAAAAGAACCCAAAAAATCGTTGTGACAGAAACAATAGAGGCATTATTACAACAGAAGGGGAACGCTAGAAGACTATGGCAACGGCATAGATCCCCAAAGCATAAAGTTTTACTTGTTAAATGTACAAATGAACTCAAATGAACCCTAGGCAATTTTCTATTCAATTTGGCACCTAACGAACAAACGGATTATTCACTTTGGAAGGCAACAAAGTACCTCAAACAGCCTATCCAGGATGAATCTCCTCTCAGACTAGAAAATGGTGACCAAGCTCGAAGTGACTCGGAGAAAGTGGACATATTTGTAAAACACTTGAAAAATGTATTTATTCCTAATGATGCTTCACAAAATGCTTCTTTACCAATTACAAACCTATATCCCTCGAACAGACCCCTTATTTTTAAACTAGAAAATATCACTAAAATTATAAAATATCTCAATGCGAAAAAGGCAGCAGGACCTGGTAAAATTTCAGTTGCAATGATGAAAGAATTACCACAATGTGCCATTATACATATCAGGCATTTATTTAACGCTATCTTACGGACAGGATATTTACCCAAACTTTGGAAAATGTTACAATTAATAATGATACCTAAACCTGGAAAAGACAAAACCAAAGTAGAATCTTACAGACCAAAAAACGTCCTTCCAGTATTATCAAAAATATTTGAAAAGCTACAAATAGCAAAAATGATGCCAATACTCTCAGCTAACGAAATAATTTTGGAGCATCAATTCGGCTTCAGAGCTAAACATAGTACAACTGAACAAGTGCATCGTATTGTATCATTCGTAAGAAACTCATTTGAAAATAAACAATACTGCACTTCTATATTTATAGATGTAGCCCAAGCGTTTGATAAAGTATGGCACGAAGGCTTAATACATAAAATTACAACTCTCATGCCAGTTAACACTCATGCCAGTTTTGTTAAAAAACTGTTTAAGCAAAAGAACTTTAAGTTTAAGATATAAAGATTTTGTTTCAGAACCTTGTCCTTCCAAAGCTGAAGTTCCACAAGGAAGTGTAATAGGTCCGCTATTATACATATTGTATACAAGTGATATACCAACTTCGGAAAACACTTTAACTGTAACATTTGCGAACGACACAGCAATACTAAGTGCACAGAAAACCCCGCAATAGCACAAAGCAAGCTTCAAACTCATATTCACTCATAAGCTATCACTTGAATACAAAATTCTGCTATACAAGTCGATAATAAAACCGGTATGGAGTTACGGAATTCAAATTCAAATATTGAAAAACTGCAAAGGCTGCAATCTAAAATCCTAAGAATGATAACGGGTGCACCGTGGTTTATAAAAAACGTCAACCTTAATATAGATTTGGGTCAACAGTAATTGAAGACGCTGCTTGATGTAGCCGTCAGTACCTCTTAAAGTTAAAAGATCACCCTAACAAATCAGCCTAAAAGCTGCTACTGAACAAAGGCCACAAGCGTTTAAGAGGGAAGGGCACCATTAACATCTGCTAACTTTCTAAATTCCTTATTTGATTTAAAATATTAAAAACTTTATTTAATTGAATTGAATGTGATTTATTGAATTAATTTTAAATTTAAATTAAATTTTAGTCTTAATTTTAATTTTAATTTCATTTTAATTTCAATTTTAATTTCAATGTTAATTTTCAATCTTATTTAATTATAAATAATTTAATGTCTTAATAGTTTTTTCCAAAGCAATGGCCTAGGAAAAAAAAATTAATTTAGTTTTGAGATTTGATCACTTATTGTTAGTTTCTAAATTGAAAGATTCAATAAATAACGCATGAATTGAAAAAAAA